CAATGACAACAATTGCTAGAATATTTTATTAATTTTTTTGAAAAATGACAAAAAAATTACACTTTTTTGTGAAAATATCAAATTGTTAATTCAATTCAAATTAATTTTATAATAAAAAAAATTTATTCCTCAAAGTAGTTGCTTAATCCGTATCTATGACCGTACTAGTGTCAAATAGATAACTAAAATAGGAAATTGCAACAAAAATTAATGTTAAAATAAAGGTGCAAATAAGTAGGACTTTTGCTAATTTTAACCCAAAATGATAAAAATGATAGGCTTTTTTGTAGTTTTGAATTCAAAAGTGTTGTGGTTGTGATAGAATTCTTTGTTAAAATTTGAAACGGTTCAGAATTCCAGAGATAAGTGACAAGGTGACTTTTATTAGCCATTAGTTTTGGTTTGAGTGGGAAAGGACGATGAACTAGGGTACGACATTTTTTCTCACGTTTTCTTACGTGTCTCTTATTACTCAACAACAAAACATGAACTTCGGTCTTTTTGTTTAATCTTTGATGTGATTTTCAATATCCATGAAACTCACTAGTTGATACCCGGAAAACATCTCTTCGCTTGGTAAAGCTATATTTTACTAATAACTACTTATTTGGGTTGACAATTTGTGAATTATGGAGGAGCGACAAATGAATGATGTAAGTAAATTATGGTGTGGGATTTTCTGCTTGTAAGATCTTTTTATATTTTATTCCTTCTCATAGGTATGTTCTATTATAGGAATTTTTTTTATATTCACCATATTTAGTGAATATTTATTGTTAGATTTGCTAAAAGTTATTTTAGTGAATATTTATTTTAGTGAATATCTAGGTATGTGGGCACAAAGCATCATATAAAGTAAAGCTCACGAGAATCACTTTAGATTGATTAAACGAAGTCCAAGAATTTATTAAGGTTAGCTAGTTTGATAATTTAGCACAAGGACTCTAAGCTGGAGATTACTTGTCAAACTTATAGCGGACAGATAAGGATTCTAAGCTGTCAAGCGTCGGCAGGTTCGGTAATAAGTTTCCGCCCATACCCATCGATCAAATTTTCTGAATGCAATTTAAAACAGAATTGGATTGCCCATCTGGTGTCGGCTGGCCAATTCTGTTTTAGCATGTGTTGTACCGCTCAGTCCAGATGGAATATTGATTAATATGGTGTCTACTAGAGGTGGCAAAATGGGCGGGATGGGCGGGATTTGCTTGGGTTTGAGATGGAACCGAGTCATATGGGTTTGGGCCCAACCTTACCCATATGTGTTTTGTGACTAACTTGGGCGGGATCATTTTGGGATGGGTTTAGATTGATCCCGCCCAATACCCAAATCCATTTTCTACATATTTTTTTTCCTTTAATTCATTTTTTATTTTTATATAATTTTAATATTTTTGATTTATTAAATTTCTTTTAGTTTTATTAAATAAACATGCAAGTGCTTTATACTCAAGATTCCCACCAAAAATTGGATTAACAAATAAAGGAAAAGATAGATATACAGCCATATTCCAACATATATCAAGATGGTCAAGGTCCTTAGGATGTTGAATATTTATCCTTATCATTGTCCAAGGATGACAAGTCTAAACTAACTGAAATGCTGGAAATTCTTGTGGATAATGACTAGGAAGACTACTAGATTATATTCGCTGGTATAACTATAAAAATTGTTAAAGATAATTTTTGAATCTAAGATTCCGTTTGGATTGACTTTTTTTTTCAAAAAATAAGTTTTTCAAATACAATGTTACAGTAATATACAATAACTCAAGAAACATCCCATCCATATTAATATATCAAATATTTCAAAAAAATTTTATAGTAAAAATTTTTCATATACACTGCTACAATAAAATATTTCAAAAACACCTACCAAAACAGCTAATCCAAACGGAGCCCTTGCCATTTGAGCCCAATGGGTACCCAAGTATTTCCCATCCTTTCCCATTCATTAATGGGTATAGTTGGGATGTGTCCCAACTTAAACCCAATACCAAATTATAATACCCATCCCGCCCAAAGTTCCTTTGGGCATGGGTAGCCCATTGGGACTTGGGACAAATTGCCAGCTCTAGTGTCTACTGATTAATATGGAAGTATGTTGATAATTATTATTGTTTTTTATATAGGTTAAAGTTCTACAAGCTAAGTGGAACTCACTATCCCCTGCAAAGAAATCAATGTACAGAGCACGTCATCAAAAAACTAAAGTTGACTACATCGCAAACAACAGAGATGACAATGCCAAGGTAATGTAAAGATATGAAATATGAAATTACTTATTATTCTAGAAATTTGTAATACAATCTACCAAAATATGTTATTATTCTTTCTTTGAAATATGTGGTGTTAGTGATGGAAATTAGAGATGTCACTTATTACTATGTTTTCATAATATCTGATTTTAGAGATTAATCATAGTTGTGATGCGTGTTTTCAATTGACTATTCCAACTAGAACATCACTCTGAGGTGTACATGACATCATACAAAATCTAGTTCCGGAACAAAGAACCTTAATCACGGAAATTGGCATGGGAAGCTTACTTGAAATCAAGTACGTTAGGGCTTGAAATCCATTAAGTTAGGGCTTTTGAGGAAAATATTAAAACTCTGGGGTAAAAACGCAATGAAAAAGTTAAGTGGAAGAATATTTGTAGTGGAATTTACTATTTACCTTTGCCATTTCTTTCTTTCCTCTCTTTCTTCTTCTTCTCTAGTTTTCCTAAGGGATAATTTCAAAAACCTCTCTTGAGGTATCTAACAATATTGCCTTGCACACCTAAAGTTTAAAAAATATTACTTGCCTCTCTTATTTTCAAACTTTTGTAACATTATCAACCCAATTCAAAATATAATACTAAAAATTCATATTTGGAATGTATAGATAATTTGAATTCCAAAATTATACTTTTGTTGTATTCTCTTAATTGTTATGACAAATTAATTTGAAATCCCTCAGTATTTGAAAATTTACCAATTTACTTCTTTAATGGAAAATTATAAGTTTTTCGTGGGGTTGGGAGATCCTTTAAGAAAATTTATTTTATAATTTGGACGAAAGATGTTTAAAATTTACAACTTATGAATAATTTACGAAACACGCAAAACTCATCCATAATACTCTATAAATGAAATAACTTTTTTCTACATCTTGAAAGCATTTCAAATTAATTTTTTTAGCCATCTCAAATAAGTAATAAATGCAGTTTTAAACACTTTTTCTTTTTTAATTTCCAAGCCATTGATATGGATAAAAAAATGAAAATGCTAAATAACATATAAAATTTCTTAAATTCACTCAAAACAGCTTACATAAAAGGAAAGATTTCTTTATTTGGTAACTTAATAGGCACCTAATTAGCATATCAAACAAATAAAGGTGGATCATGATGCACATGGGTTTTTGTCCTACATTTATTCACTGGATCATGACTTGCATTTCCACAGTCTCTTACTCCTTTAATCTGAATGGACAAAAAGTGGGGTATATTAAGCCTTCCAGAGGAATCCGGCAAGGAGATCCCTTATCTCCCTACTTGTTCATTATTTGTACTGAAGGGCTTTCTAATTTACTCAAGAAAGCTGTGGAAAAAAAAAGCAATTAACTGGCATCAAAGTATGCAAAGACAGCCCCATGGTTTCTCATTTATTTTTTGCAGATGACTCTCTCTTGTGTTGCAAAGCAAGCAAAAAGGAAGCTCAGAAGATAAAGGAGATCATTCAGCTCTATGGTCATGCGACTGGACAGGAAGTTAATCTCAATAAATCAGCCATGTTTTTCTCCAGAAATACTCCTAATATGATTAGAGGGGAGATAAGCGAGGTGTTGGACAATATGAGAGAGGCTCACAGTGGAAAATATTTAGGACTACCTATGACTATAGGGAGAGCTAAGAACCAGGTCTTTGGGTATCTGAAAAGTAAAATTAATAGAAAGCTTCAAGGTTGGAAACAAAAGCTGCTAAGTTAAGGGGGTAATGAGGTCTTGATCAAGTCAGTCATTATGGCCATGCCTACATATATTATGTCTTGTTTTAAACTTCCTAAAGGCTTGTGCAAGGACATTAGTGCTAGTATAACTAGGTTCTGGTGGGGTGGGGGGGAATCTGAAAAAAAAGTGCACTGGGTTAGATGGAGTTAACTTTCAGAAGTTAAAGGGAAAGGGGGATTGGGTTTTAGAGATCTGGAAGCTTTCAATATAGCCTTGCTTGCAAAACAAATTTGGAGAGTTGTTACTAATCCAAATTTGTTAGTAAGCAAAGTTTTGAAACCTAAGTATATGAAGGAGGAAGACTGGCTAGAACAACAGCCTCCTAGCAATGCATCTTGGTGTTGGAAAAGCATTCACAAAGGGGGAGAACTACTACAACAGGGACTATGGAAGAGAGTGGGAGATAGAAGGTCAGTGAAGATCTGGCAAGACAGGTGGATACCGGGATCGGTCAATGGAAGAGTATCAACTGCAAAACCAACAGGTTGCCAGCTAGAGTTTGTGCATGAAATAATAGCGGGAGGGAAGTGGAAGACAGATTACTTGCGGCACTGGTTTAATGCAGAGGATGTGAAGCTCATCACTAGCATTCCCCTTAGCTTATATGAAAGGAAAGACAGACTATTCTAGAGTCATAGTAAGTCCGGGATATACACAGTGAAGATAGGATATGTAGTTGCAAGGGGGAAGAAAACACCATGAACTGAAGGCTAGCAACTGACTCAGAGACCAGCTGGGAAATTAGGAAGCATACGGTGTGGAAAAGATTGTGGAGCTTAAATATTAAGATGAAACTGAAACACTTCTTATGGAGGTGTCTGCAAAATGGTCTAGCTACTAGTGAAGCACTCTATAATAGAATTGGAAAGGGCAGCAATATATGTAACTGTTGTGGGGAGGAAACCGAAACCATAGAGCACATTTTTTTCTTTTGCCCAAAAGCTCAAGTGGTATGGAAGTTAGCTCTTGTAAGGTGGGAAGGGATAGCTGAGCTGCAGTGTAACATGTGGAGATGGTGGGACGCCGTGATGCAATCAGCTAAGGAGGTACAAGGGGAAGACCGAATCAAGCTCACGGTGAACATTCTATGGCAAATCTGGAAAGCTAGAAACAAGATGGCATTCCAAACGGAGAATGTGGAAGCCAAAAGGATAATAGACAAAGCTCAACAGGAATGGATCGAATTTGATATGGCGAATGAATTAGACTCGCGAGCAAATGCATCAGTAGAAAAGGAAGAACAGGTTCAGCTGCGATGGGAGCCACCTAAGGAAGGGGTAATGAAGATTAACACGGATGCAGCAATCTCAGCTACAATGGTCAGAACAGGACTGGGGATTATTGCAAGGAACTGGCATGGGGTGATAGTGAGAGCTAAAGGAATCACTGAGAGGAAAAGAGGGGAAGCAGCCACAGAGGAAACACTTGCTATCAGAGGTGAGCTGGAAATGGCTCAAATTGCAGGATGGACAAACATAGAAGTCCAATCTGATTGTAAAAATGTAGTGAGCCTTATTAATACGGGCAATGTTCAGGATTGTAAACTACAAACAATCCTGGAAGACATTGAGATCCTAAAGATGAGGTTTGACAGGTGTGCTTTTTCTTTTGTGCCCAGAACTGCTAATGGTTGTAGCCATGCCATGGCTCAATTTGCAGTCAAGTCGGTTAGGAACATTGAATGGGAAAGTTCATTCCCAAATTGGCTATCAGCTTTAGCTAGAAAAGATATGGGGGGTAGTTACCCCTTTTTGTCATTAGCTCTTGTATTATCAAGTGTTAATATCTATAAAAATATTATCGTTTAAAAAAAAAAAAACAAATAAAGGTGGATCTAACATTAATATTTTAAAATCATAATCAACCCCCTAAATTACAAAATTTTGGTGGAAGAAATCTACTCTTCTACCAAAATAATCAACCTCGTATTGTAGCAAAAAATAATTGAGTACTAAAGAAGCCAAAAAAAAATTTTTCTAGTTTGAAAACATTTTAAATAAATTTTTTTTTTTGTATTGATGTCATCATACTTTTGTCTCTATTTTTAACTTTTGATTAATATACTTTTTATTTTGTAATAGTGAGACAACCAAAGGGTAATGTTGGAAAGAAATTATGTTCTTTTACTTAAAATGAGTATTTTAATAGTATATTTTGAATTAAAATGTTAAAAAATTTTGAAAATAAGGGAGTTAAGTGAAATTTTTGAAACCTTAGGGGTGCTGAGTGATATTATTGGAAACCTTGAGGAAGGTTTCTGAAATTATTCCTTATCCCAAGAATCTTTTTCTTCATCTTTGATTCCCCAAGGTTGAGCTTAAAGGAATCCAACCCAAGTGCTAGGGAGAAGTTAGGAAGTTGCGTTCCACCATCTAATCAAAGTAAGTTTAGTTGTCTAATTAGTTTAATTGTGATTTAATTTGGATTGGGTGTTGGGTTGATGATGAATTGAATATTGGATATGGTTAATTTTTGGTTGGTTTTCTTGAATCTTTTGTTAGGCTATACTTTTGAGATGTTTTTTAGTTCTTGATTTTGGTTGGAGATGGAGTGTTTGCCTAGAATGAAGCATAAGAGAATTTTTGGGTGTTTTAATAGATGAAAAATCTTGGTTAGAAATTGAATGATTTGAATTCACTACATTAATTTTAAGTTTATTATGCAATAATATAATTGCGGGGTACAAAATTATGCACTTGGATGACTATGGAGCCTTAGAGATGATTTAAGGTAGAAATAGAACTTGAGAACCAAAACTGGAACTCACTTCTATCTCGAATCCATCATCGGATTCTTTGCGGATACTTGGGTTGGATTCGATTTAATGCACTGTCAACTTTACTATTTTAGTCATATGTTGACATAAAAAACTCAGATTTACCGCTGTCCGGGGAAGGAAGGAATTTTATTCCTGCTTGATGCTGGCAATGAACAAAATGAACGTATGATTTTCATATGGGATGCAATTAATGCATGGGGTATTTCATTCGATCCACATTTGAGCAACAAATGCACCATGGCGATGACAAAGGGAACACGATCAGATATGACCGCTTTGACTACCCTACTTTAGCAAAGCAATTGCAAGCATCGAAAAGTATCAGAAAAGCAAAGCTAACCAGGTTCTTTTCACCAGAAATACACCAGAAAGTTCATCTACAAAGTACCTCAAACTTTAACGTTTCCGTAGAGTGGATGGTAGCCTCTACAACTTTTAGTGTCTGTGAATAAGTTTTGATAGACCGGACGACAGAATACTATAGGCTATATAACAACCAATGTTGTTGTTTTTTAAGTTTTTCAATGTCCCGACAATACAACTTTTATTCATACTCACAAGAAGGAAGACCACACGAATATTAACTGCCGCTTTCATCATTCATTAGGAAACCTAGAGTCTTTTGTTTGGATTCTTCCCTAATTTCTCAAAAAGCAGGCAGCACATATTTTTTACCCAATTCACATGTTGGAACATGTAAACGGTTTCTAAACCCGAACAAACTGTTACATTCGGGAGATCAACAATGGGACGGAGATTGGCGGGTCCTCGCCCATCACTGGATGGAGTATATCCAATTCCCCATATCTTTCCAAGACACGCATCCTGCAGTCCTCAGCAGCCAATAGACCAGTGGAGTATGCTCCATGTACAGAACCTGGGTACTCGAAACTAGTTGCTTCCCCAGCAAAAAATAAGTTATCCACGGGGATCCTTAGCCTCTCATACAGATCATGGGGTTTACCCACCATATCATAGCTGTAGGAGCCCAGTGTGTTTTCATCTGCGCCCCAATGAGAAACAAGGTACTGAATCTGCAAATTTACCAACAAAAATGTCACTGCTAATATGAAAAAAGACTTAAAACAGTAGTTAACACCTATTGCAGAATTCAATGACGACTGTTTTCATGTTTTGCTTTGCTAGAGCTCAAATATCCACGCACGAAGGTGACGAAAGCAGAAGTATTTCGAAAGAAACCCAGACGCCTAGTAAATTTCAGATATCCCACGTCAGGTTTATCATCAAGTTCAATTACTTGTGAGAACGTTACTAAGCCACAGACAAGGAAGACAACATCTCGAGAAATCTTGCTATGATAACCATTCAACCTTTGCCTAATAGTGGATTTTTATGCGAAATTCTAGACAACAGAATGCATACTTAGTCCATCCGAGTAACCACCCTTTTTCTTTAACATAGATAAAAAGAAAATAATTACAAAAATGGTAAAGAACGTCACTGGAATCCTTGAAGTGCAGCTTCAAAGATTACTATAATAGCTTTCTTAACCACAATATTGACTGATTGTACCGGCTTGAAGAAACAGGCTGAATTATTTTCAACCAAACACAAAATGTAACTTTAAGCCCAGAACAATTATATATCGTGCCAAAATGTTCAACTCGGGTCAGAAAAAGATCATATTAACATGGCTCTCCAACCCACCCCCACCCCCCCCCCCCCCAAAAAAAACAAAAAACCAAAAAAAAACCCTCTCTCCCAAAGAACCAAAAAAAAAGGTAAATACAAGTCATAATGCCTCGGTAATCACAGAAGCTAGACCACAGAATCAACATAAAAATAAAAGAATCTATAAGCAAGCAAAGGAACATGGGCATAAGATAAGTAATGAGTTGCAAAATTTACCGGTTCAGAAGCGTTGGGAAGGATTCTCTTCAGCTGCATGTAAGCAAAACTAGCAGCAGCCTCATCTGACATTTTCTCAATGTCGCGGGCCAATTGCCCAGCAGGCATATAAACAAGGATGGAATGACCAGTGGCCTTATGTAGATTAAGAAAGTAACTGCACTCGTAAGAAGACTCTGCAACCACTCCCAAGAACTCTACATTTGGCCAAAACACCGTCTCAAAGTGTAAAACTATCTTGTTCTCAATACCTATTCCGAGGTCATTGATAGCTGCCTCCTTCCACTCTGGTAATCTCGGCTCAAATTTGATACGGTTTGATTTAAGAACACCAAGAGGGACAGCCACAATAGCAGCATCTGCTACGAAAGTTCTCCCATCTTCCACAGTTACTTTGACTCCATGGTAACGTCTTACAATTTTTGTAACCCTTTAGGAGAAAAAAAATTGACTAACTGCTTGATTATTGGGAGTAACAAGCAAGAAATTAAGGAAATATGGTATGGTAAAGTAAGAAATCATGTCAATTACCTATGACCCAAACGAATGTCAAGACCTTTGGCAAGGGTATTTATAACCGGAAGATAACCCCTGACCATAAGTCCATGTCCACCAGGAAGCAACTCCTCCTGCAAATACAAAATACAAGGTAAACAAGTCAAGGTTCAGGGTGTCATTTTACCATTGTTTAACACATAGGTAGTCATTCGCAAAAGAGATTCTATCTTCCAAATCCTTCCCTACCCCTGAGATCCGGCAAAAGAAGAAGAAACGTCCACATAAAAATACAGCTAAAGCACTAGGCGAAGAAACTAACCTGGTCCCAGCATTTAAGTGATATGGTCTCAGCATCTGCAGCAAACCAGCCTTCCATTCTACACAGGTACCATTGCAATACCTTATAATCAAGCCCCTCCAACCTGTACCACTATGCATTAGAAGCTTTAATAAACTGTACCAAAAATAAAAGCATTTAAAGTACAAGGATTTCGAGTTCAACCTTAAATCTGGCCTCCTTTCGAAAACAATAGAGATTGCACGAGATATTGGCATATCTTCCCTAAAATCTTGCCTGACTAAGTCCGTCTGCACAAGACGACAGCATAAATCAACAAAAAAATATGCACACAAGAAAAGAATGTTGGTGATATTTTGATGTGTAACAAAAACGATTTCAATTAGCCAAAAGCTACGGAAGAGAAATAGGGAAAGCACGTGCCTCCTTCAGAATGCTCTCAAATATCTGTCCAACCTTTGACACTAAATCCTGTGCAACTTGATTTCCATCCATATCAAAAAGCGCATAGCTGAATAAAAAAAAAATCACCTTATATAGCATAGAAGATAGTCATGAAACAAGAATTGATAAATAAATTCAAAAAGCAGTAAAAAGGAAAAAGATAACAGCTTCTTCTTGTGGTTATGGTTAACCTTATTCTATTATGAGGTGTCTGTTAATTAGGGATCGAATGAAACTCATACTACCTGAACCAAGTGCAGTATTCCATCAGAGCAATGACTAAATAGGAAAGGGCAAGTGAGATTGAATCAAGTGCCAAGAATCAAAATATGCAGACCGCAAGGAGAAACTTTAGATGTCTTAGTCAAAGGCTTAAAACCAATACGTACATTGTTACGTTAAGCTTATCTAAAATGACATGTCGCAAGGAAATCCATAAAGATCAATTACTTTACAACAAAATCTCTCTTATTCTGCAACATATAATGCGTACAGAATATGCAAATTGAAAAGGAAAGGACAATAATGCAAACCTCTCCAAATCATGGTCATATAAAACTGAGTTGTCACCACTTGTTCGATAGAGAGGTAATCCTAGTCTCCCTATAACAGGTGCCAGTGGATTCTCTTTGCACACCCCATGTAACCTAGCATAAGAAAATGGAATTTTAACCGAAAAGAAAAGCAAATGATATCTGTCTAATGCATCCAAAAGATCAAGATATGAAGAGAAGATACAGTTTTTTTTTCCTGATCAGGTTTTTTTCTTGGTTTTGGGGTTTTTGGTTGGGTGGGGGGGGGGGCCTGTTCTACATACCAGGATGCACCAAGATCAACTGGAAAACCAAATGAGTAATCAGTATGAACTCGACCACCGATTCTGTCCCTAGATTCCAACACAGTGACCTACAAACACATACATTCTCTATAAGCATTATAAACAGCAATCATACCTTTAATAAAGGCATAAACATATATTGTCCTTCCAACCTGAAATGAAGCATCATAAAGAGCTCGTGCAGCTGCAATGCCTGCAAAGCCACCACCTATAACTATCACAGATGGTGATGATGCATGCCTTCTCTCCACATTCGAATAGCAAAGAGCTACACAGAAATAAAGACAGAGTAAGATAATTACTAAAAGACAGGATTTGCAAACCACTGATAAGTATCTCATGCAGGTATTTTTCATCATATCGCCATAAAATTTCATAAGAGAGTCCAGATAGAGAGAGGTCACATTCAAGCCACCGAATTCGCAGAGCGCAGAAAAATTTTTAACTACATTGACCATGTACACCTAAGACTCCACTCAACTTCCAAAATTAAGCACTTTGATTCCACCATCCTTCCTTGACATTTGTACCACCTATTATCTAAAGCACTACCATTTTAAATGCAGATCATTCCAGCACGAGAAGTGCATATTGCATTATATTCACGTCCAGTGTTCTTGCTTGCATGGCTGTATAGTACATGATATAACATAGTAACAAACATGCCTAGATGTGGACATGCAGCAAAAACTAACGTATGAAGAGCAGCAATGAGAATACAACATCTCTATCCCTGCAACTGTTTTAAGTACTGCATAGCTTAATAAGTGAACCGAGGACACAAGAAGTGCATACTCATGAATAGCTTATCCACTCTCCATTTGCTAAATAACTAGCAATTTCTAGACCCGGAGCTGAAATAACCTGATGCCTTGCAGTAGATTTTATCACATCAGATGCAGTCAAAAACCAAATTTACTTCTTTTTTTTTTGTTGGGGGCCCCCCGCCGGGGGGGGGGGGGGGCGGGGGGGCGGGTGTGTGGTTGGTTAACACTTTGTCCAATCCATTCAACTCTAAACTCATGGACTGTTAAAAACAGATGGATCATACAAGTACTGAATATGGTCCAGTCCCTCCTGCTCTCACGGAATGATCTATGGTACAAAATCCGCAACTAAAGGATTTTCCTTTCACCTTAATCTTGTGATTCTTACCATTCACATTCACGAAAAGAGTCGTCTTTTTTTTTTACCATTTATCTTTTTGATTGGAGCAGGGTCATTTTGGGTACTTTAGTCCAATAGTGCTACTATAACTTTCTAATTACTCTACGGAAATCTCGTTGAACATTCTTTCTTTCCAATCGTCGGTGGCATGGCAAAAATCAACAAAAACACTAATAAACTTTTTTTAAAAAATCAGTAAACAGAGCTGAAAAAATCGTCGGTGGCATGGCATGGGATATTCTCTCCAGTAAACTTTTCTTCGTTTAACTTAAAAAAAGCACACGAATACTATAGATCAAACTAGAGCTGAAAACCCAGTAAACAGCATCCAGATTAAACTGATTATGATGTAAAACAAAAAAATGACACAATTAAACAGATAAAATGAGCTTATAAGCTCAAAACTGAACCCAAAACCTTAAAAGGAAAAAAAAGTTTAAAAGAAGAATCAGAAAAAGGAATTAAAAGAAAAAAAAAACAGACCTTTTTGCAATTGGGGATTACTCCTCTTGTCTCTTGAGTCCATGAATAACAGATGATCCGCGATAAAATTCACAATTCGAAAGCTTACGATTTAAACTCAGTAATAACCTCAATTTAGAGAATCTTAACAATAACAGGGACAACAAGGAGACGGAATGAAGAATAAAATCATTAATGAAAAAGAGGAAAACACCGAATTGAGGAGAATAATGAAGAAAAAACACAAGAAACGAATAAACGATGGAGCGATTCGAATAAGAATTAGAATTTAATGATTGATGAAGCTTATTTCCCAAACACCTCCTCATGCGTATTCCAAACCTACCCCAATTTCGGCTCTCTCTACTAATTCCACTCCTAATCACGCCCTAACCAGCAATCGATCAGGATAATAATCCAAATTCCAGAACTTCGGAATTCAATCGATTGCTATTTTCTCCTTTTCTTCAGTAATCGGCGATTCTAATTCTAGAGAGAGAATCTTTCTGCCTGGTAATGGAGGAATGAGAAGTCTAGAGAGAGAAAGGGAGACGCGGAGAAGACGAATGGAAATTGAAAAAACTGAAAGCTGGCAGGTGGGAAAATGGATTTACAGCTCTTAATGTATTTATAGACTTTTTTATTGGGCTGGGCCACACGCATTACAGGTTGGTCCAAGGAGTTCTGATATGGTACGTCGTGGACTACTGTGGACCGGTAGTTTCGTGGTGGATGCATTTGATTGGATTCCTTTTTGTGGAGTTTTTCTTCTTTGTTTTATATTTTATATTTTTAGTTTTTAACCAGAAACTGGTTGTAAGAATTAGCAGAAGGGGAATATTTGGTACAGCTTGTAATATTCCATTTTGTTTTCTGTTTTTGGCTAAGAAGGAAACAGAAATTTCTACCTTTTTATGAAATTTTCTTTCTTTTTCCTTATGGGAAGTATTAAGCAACTTACCTTTTTATGATTTTTTTTCCTTTTTCTTCCTGGGAGTTATTAATTAATTTTCCTTTTTTTGTTTGAGATTTTCTTTCTTTTGTCTTTTGGGAATTGATTAAGTTACATTTTTTATTATATTTTCCTTTCCTTTTCTTTTTGTGAATTGATGAAATTACCTTTTTTATTATCTTTTCTCTCCTTTTGTTTTTGTAATAATTTGTCATATTAACACACACAATGACAATTATTGTACTTTTGTATTTAAACATTTTTTATTATCTTTTCTCTCCTTTTGTTTTATAGTAATAATTGGTTAAAGGATAATTCTAACAGTGTTCAATGGACATTCATTGAGACATTTAAATCATACATAATTTATCATATCAATACGCTAAATGACAATTATTATACCCCTACATTTAGATTTTTTTTTTCCAAATTAAATACAATTTTCCAAAAAGTTAATACATAGAAACCATTAGCCAAACCGTTGATTTAACTAACTAACTTTATTTGTTTTTTTCAAAACCTTCCCGACCTTCTCCACACCCTGGCCATTTCAATTGAGATTTGAATCCTCAACCCTCAACTCGACAGCGGGAAAATCAATTTAATTGCCTAACCTTAAGCAACTGTCACAAAGCATATCTGTCACCAATAGTGATTTGAAAGCATTTGCAACTAACCTAACCATATTAATTGACCTTATCTTTTCACCAATTGATCTTTGGATAAGGACTTACACATTCAAACCTCTTTTACATGTGTATCAGACAGGGACATATACATACCCTTTATTCTTTCTTTGGTTGGATGGACTTTGATATTTTAAGAGTCACAAAACATGGTTGGACATATTGCTGTCCCCTCTGTAAACATGCAGCTTTCTTTTTTCTTATTTTTATTTTTGGGCCAGAAAACATGTAACTTTCTTTTGATTGACTAGCATATTATGAGGTGGGTGTGGGTCTATTTGTGTTTTCTTCCACAAGTTTATCATATATAAGAGTAACTTTTAACAAATCATATATTAAACCTAAAAAGGACTAATTGTGATTCATTAGTTGCTTTCCATGCAATGCTTGACGTATGCCACAAATCCACTGGCGTCAGTGTAACTAATTAGGGGTAGAATTCTATCTGTGCTTTTTCAATCCAAAAATTAGCACGTAAAATACTTTTTTTTAAGTGGAAAGTTTTAAATTCAGAAATTTTTTCCCTTTTTTTTGCCTCCCAAAGCCAGTAAGCAGCAGGATTAGGTGTCGATAATTGGACGCAAATGATTATCCCCAAGCTGACTTGTGTACCCAAAAAAACTGCATGATACATTACGTGGTAGTATTCTTGTCTTATATATAAAGCCTTTTGGACTAATAAATGCACAAATATTTAGGTACCTTTCGGTGCTAACACAATGAATATAGTCAAAATTAAGGCACTGGATCGAATTAAGGAGCATCATTAGGTATTATAATTGGTTAGGGTATACATGAATTTGTGTACCTTTACAAGTTATGGATCCATTTTCATGCTTATTAATTTTTCACTGCCCCTAGGCAGAAGAATATTTATCTTCAACCTGTCTTTCTTCTTACTATATATGCATCTTTCTGTCTAACGGGTACACATATGACACTCGTTAATATATATTTCGGGTGTTATATTTTTGAAAATATAAAATTAATTAGAAAAATAAATAAATATAAGAGATGATAGGCAAGATTAAATAGAGAAAGTATATAAACATAAGAAAGGATAATAATTATTAATATATATATATGAGATAAGTTATGTAAATATTAGATGTATTAATGGATGCTGTTTACAAAAAGTCAAAAACCCCTATATGTATATAAGAGTAACGACTTAGTCGCCTCGTGACTCAAAAGTCATGAGTGCGAGTTTCACTGTAAGAATAATAATAATGTTTAGTTTGGTAATCTAGATGTGGGGAGCAATCATAATGTTATTAAAAAAATAATAATAAAAGAACAAATAGAGAAGCTGAGGAGACAGTGCCGGCATAATAAAGGTTGTGAAATGTAATGTCAAGAGACTCGAGACTCTGATTGGATTATGGAGTTTTCAGAAAAATAATACAAGAGCATTTTTGTACAGATAAATCAGTAAAGACAAAAAAAAAAAAAAAAAAAAAAAAAACTGGTTAGAGTTTACTAGCAATAAGTTTTTGAAAGCAGCTCCTTCCAAAACTCTGTACATGTTTAGAAGATAATTTGTCCTCCTCAATCGCCACTCGAAAATGGAAAACATATTAAAATAAAAAGAAAAAAACACGAGATATCAAAATCATTTTTCACTCGGTAAAGAGAAAAGATCATTTTGTCGTTTAATTAACGATCTTTTAACCTATTTTGGCTGTTTCGGGTGCTTTTCTACATAATTGCTTGAAAGAACATGTTTTAGAACAGTATAATCAGGTCAAGAAAACTATCAACTAATCCTGTTTATTTACTTCTTTTGCGGTCCTTCTCTTGTTCTTTTTGTGCATATTTGTGTTTATTGAGTAAGAAGAATATGCTTGGATTGACGCCTCAAGGCGTAGAAGTTTTGAATTCGAATACGATCTCCCTCCTGCTTATTCGAATGCGATCTCCCTCCTGCTTCTTAAATTTCATGTCTTTCTTATTAAAAAAATTAGTAAGAATATGCTTGTGTTAGATGCTAGGCCACACACCAACACCAACTCCATGACAGTTTTTTTCTGGTTCATATAGGTTTCAAAGGTTACTTTTCAAAGTTGTCTTCTTTGTTGTACGTACTAATAGCATTCAATTGTCAAAACTGAAAGAGAAAGGGTTTTAGCCACTTGATAAGTACGTTGCAATTTCAACTTTTCTAGAGGGTTTTCATTGATGACGACTAGCTTTAGCTGCTCCTCGTATTTTATTTTATAACCTTTATCGAATGCATATGGAACTTATCTTGTGATTAAAAAAAAAAAACAAATTTCAGCATAACTTTATGTGAATGTGATGGACATAAACGTAAGAAAACACTAAAAATATATGACGCAGGAGTTAGGTTAGGTCTTGAGTGGCTAATGAAGCCTTCTTTTACGTTGTCAAATACAAAAAGGTCTTACTTTAGTGACGAAAAGCCTTCAATTTTGTAATGCAACATCTTGATCTTCTGCCCATTTTGATCCAAGTGTGTTGGACTTTTGGAGCACAGTGTAAATAAATTTAGGAAGGATGTAAACAAGTTGAAGTAGATTTTGAAGTAGGGTGTAAAAATAAAAGTTTGAGTTGTTCATTTGACTCTGAAATAGATTGGAATGGACCAGTGAGAGCACGGATCATTCATTTTGTTTTTGTAAAAAATATATATATATATATATATGGGTTCAATTTTGTTCACTATCACAGATCAGAATGTGCTCTCAAAACCATATGTCGCATATAGAGATTCTTATAGATCACATATCAACACAATTTTCTTAATATCGATAATAGGATTTTAAAACAAAACGTTTTATAAGAAATATATCCGTTATTACTAATTGAACAAATTTGTATTGGCAAACGTGGGGTGGACTATTAATCGAAAGCTTCCCAACTTGACAAGTTTTAAGTTCAAATGCTTTAGAATCTCTGTTTGTATTTCTGCTTTTACCGCCCAAACCAATGGATTTGAGAATGAACCAAAAAGCTAGAAAACCAATTTTGTGATATAATATCCTGTTGTGGCCATTTTTCATACCTGTGTTGGACTGTAGGGCAAAAAGAAAATCAAAAAACGTGGGGTTGTGGTTTGGGGGCAGTCACCGACTAAATCTTTATGGTCACTGATTAGGATTGGAAAGCTAACAAATCAAGACTGTGACTTTGCTGTGCATGAAAGGAAAAACTTGAATAATAAAGGAGAAAATAACAGCCAACTACCCCGGCGAACCCTGCGGCCCAGCGAATACAGGACAATTGACTAGACAGCTTGCTTCCCTCCATTAAAGGTGGATGTGAAAAGAGGGAATTCAATCTTTTCAAGGGATTAATTAAATTCACCATATTTTCACTTAAATTTACATCTTAAATCTTGTAAGAGTTTTTAGCATTAGGTGTATAAACATTTTAGCTAACATAAATAGGGTTAATTGCAATTAATACGGTTAAAAAATACCCTATTTCTTATTCTATACCTAAACCCTTTTTTTTTTCTGTGTCATTTAATTCTGCGAGACAAACTTACTCCTCTGTTAATCATATTAAGATCGATGAAAGCGAAATGAGAATACATGTAATTGTGAGAAGGAACTTCAGGGAAACGTTGTATTATTTGAAATATTATTTGGAATAATTACTGTAGCACTTTTTGTGATGTGATGTATGTGAGATAAAAAGTAGTTGGGAATATAAAAAGGTAGGTTGGAAAATGTGTTTGTGATGCAAGCGAAATATTATTTGAGATAATTTTGTTATACAAAATTTGATGCATTGTTTTCCTCTATCTATTAGAACTCAAATTATTTTTTTTTTTCCTAATTGTTCTTGAATTGATTTCTTGAGCTTTCTCCCACTAAGAGCGATACCAAAACTGTTTTGCCTATTAATTACGATGGAGAAGCAATTGATTCACTTATAAAAGAAGGGCACCTGAACATTGTAGGGTTTATGTAAAAGTAAAATTTTATGAA